CCTGTGCATAGGAGGATTCTTTGAAAGTGTGGAGCCATAGGGTATGTCTACAAAGTAAAGAAAGACCCGTGTCTGACCCGTGCCAGCTAACTCGGGCTCACTGGGCTTGGGTTGTGGGGCTGTTTCACTGCTTTGTAGACTGCCGGGCTCAGACTGGAGGCTAAATTCTGGGACTCATCCCACAGGGTTCTAGAGCCCAGGCTCCAGCCCAAGCCTGGAAGCCTAAACAGCAATGAAACAGCTTCACAGCCCAAGGCCCGCGAGCCCAAGTCAACTGGCACAGGCCAGCCACGGGTTTTTCTTTACTGTGTAGACAAACCCATAGAGGCTGCTCGGCCACACCCACCCAGTGAACACAACAGTAAGCATGGGTGGGGTAAATGCAGCATGACTGCTGTCTGAGGGCCGCTCTAATTTATGTTGGGGACCTGGCTGGCATTCAAAGAGCCCGAGATAAAGTGAGTGAAAAGTGCACATCTTGACTACAGCCCAGAGTATTGTTTTGTCCCATGAAGTATTCACTGTTATTAAACCAAAATAATTTGATGGTACCTCCACATTTTGTAATCCTACAATCCTGAGCTCATTGGATTGCCTATAAATGTATAACGTATATCCAACCAAGGAATGTAACTCTTTATATTCCACTCCTTTGAATGGCATTGCACTGATAAGCATGGCTTATGAGGATGCAGAAAGCTGGATTTTCTATCCGTGGACCTCCAGTTTTGCATTCACAAACTTTTTCTTGCACTTTGAAAGCGCAAACATTTGCTAAGAATTTTAAAACTTGCACACACTCTTTAAATATTCTAAGATTGGTACAGAATCAAAAGTTAGCATTTGCACCAGCAAAACCATTTTAGCCAAGCAGTGTCCTATTCCAGATAAATTGAGTAAGTGCATTACATTTATTGGTCTGTAATGATTGGTTATCATAACAACCACTCATTCAAACTAATTGCATTAGGCTTTTTGGTCTTAGCTGCAAAGAGCGGGATAAGATGGTTTTCTAACTTTTTTGTTTGCATGCCAGGGCTCTGGCAAGTATATCCTGTTCCATATAAAATATACCACATTCAATGTGAATGCTCATATGTACAATTTAATGTTTGCTATATGTCACAGGGGTCGGCAAGCTTCGGCATGCAGCCCATTAGAGTCATCCACTGGCGGGCCACAAGACATTTTGTTTACGTTGACCCCGTCCGCAGGCATGGTCCCCCACAGCTCCCAGTGGCCGCGGTTCGCCGTTCCCGGCTAACGGGAGCTGTGGGAAGCGGTGTGGGCCACAGGGACATGCTGGCTGCCACTTCCCACAGCTCCCATTGGCTGGGTGAATATTCAAGTACAAGTGCTTAAAATCTTTTTTCCATGGGTATAGATACATCACTCAAATGTTCACAAAAAGTAAAAACAAATGGGATGCAATGCCTTAATCAAGTTCATTTCTAGATATTGAGCAACTAGTCACAGAAAATTCTTTGTATTACTCAGCCAACTCTAATACTGATTCCCAGTATGAATTATTCAATGAGATTAGGTTTCAGAGTGGTAGCCATGTTAGTCTGTATCAGCAAAAACAACGAGGAGTACTTGTGGCACCTTAGAGACTAACGGATTTATTTAGGCATAAGCTTTCATGGGCTAAAAACCACTTCATCAGATGCATGGAGTGGAAAATACAGTAGGCAAGTATATATACACAGTACATGAATAGATGGGAGTTGCCTTACCAAGTGGGGGGGGGGGGTCAGTGCTAACGAGACAATTCAATTAAAGTGGAAGTGGGCTATTCTCAACAGTAGAATACCAAGCGAGGAAAATTCACTTGATGATGTGCTGGATTGACAGATTGACAGAGCCAGAAGGGTACCCAGAAGTCACCTACTACAGGACAGGCCCAACAAAGAAAGTAACAGCACGCCACTAGCCGTCACCTTCAGCCCCCAACTAAAACCTCTCCAGCGCATCATCAAGGATCTACAACCTTTGCTGAAGGACAATCCCTCACTCTCACAAACCTTGGGACACAGGCCAGTCCTCGCTTACAGACAGCCCCCCAACCTGAAGCAAATACTCACCAGCAACTACACACCACACAACAAAAACACTCACCCAGGAACCTATCCTTGCAACAAACCCCATTGCCAACTCTGTCCGCATATCTATTCAAGGGACACCATCATAGGACCTAGCCACATCAGCCATACTCTCAGGGGCTTGTTCACCTGCACATCTACCAATGTGATATATGCCATCATGTGCCAGCAATGCCCCTCTGCCATGTACCTTTGGCCAAACCGGACAGTCTCTACGCAAAAGAATAAATGGACACAAATCAGACATCAAGAATTATAACGTTCAAAAACTGGTCGGAGAACACTTCAATCTCCCTGGACACTCAATAACAAACTTAAAAGTGGCAATTCTTCAACAAAAAAACTTCAAAAACAGACTCCAACAAGAAACTGCAGAACTAGAATTAATTTGCAAACTGGACACCATCAAATTAGACCTGAATAAAGACCAAGAGTGGATGGGTCACTACAAAAACTAATTTCCCCCTACTGTTACTCACACCCTCTTGTCAACTGTTTGAAATGGGCCACCCTGATTACATTGGCCTCACCACTACAAAAGTGATTTTTCCTCCCTTGGTATTCTACTATTGAGAATAGCCCACTTCCACTTTAATTGAATTGTCTCATTAGCACTGACCCCCCACTTGGTAAGGCAACTCCCATCTTTTCATGTACTGTGTATATATCCCTGCCTACTGTATTTTCATAGAATCATAAAATATTAGGGTTGGAAAAGACCTCAGGAGGTCATCTAGTCCAATCCCCTGCTCAAAGCAGGATTACTCCATGCATCTGATGACGTGGGTTTTAGCCCACAAAAGCTTATGCCTAAATAGATTTGTTAGTCTCTAAGGTGCCACAAGTACTCCTCGTTGTATTTTCAATGAGATTAGTTTGTTTTTCCCAGCTATACTTACTAAGGAAAAAGATCATTAAGGAAGAAGTTTGCACTGTCAGTAAAACCATGTTTTACTGTAGGAAAAACACCTCTCTGAACTGTCCAGTGGTAAATATCAGAGCAACATTAATGAGTTTCTCAGATTAAAAAATTTGGTCCAAGCCATAAGGTTTGAGTCCAAGCTTCCTCGTCCAGCCTTTTGGTTCAGCCTATTACAGAGGGAGGACCAACTGCAAAGTTTGGATCTGGGTCCACTTGAACTTCTCCAAGCTTCAGAGGTGTTTGCTTCTAGGGTTTTGGTTTGAGCTCACAAATTTCTTTGTTGTTTACATTCCCTTGCCTGTATTATCAAATTGATAATGTGTATGCATTTCTTAACTTTAAGCACATAAGTAGTCCCATGGAGGCCCTACTCCATGGGACTAACTGGTGTTCATAGTTAAGTACAGACTTTGCTGGACTGTGGCCTATATAGTAACCCCACTCTTTCATTATATCAGATTTTTGTTAAAAAAAAATTATCTCTGATTTTATGTGCTTGTAAAAAATAAATATAGATATAATATCATGACTGATTGTCTTTGAGGCACCCGTTCACTGTAAGAAGAGGTTGGGTGGTCTTTTGGTTAACATAGTACTAGGAGTCAGCAAATCTGGGTTGTCTGTGCTTTGTCACTGCTGTCCTGTGTGACCTTGGTTAAGTCACCTATCTGCACTGTTCCAAGGTTCTCCACCTCTAAAATGCAGATAATAATGCTTACCTATTTTACAAAAGTGTTCTGAAGCACTCAGGAACTAGAGTAATGAACCCGTTCATAAATAAAACAAAAAAAAGTACAAATACAGACAAGCATGATTATGTATTTCCTCCAAATGCAAAATTTCCTTTGAAATCAGTGGGACTTCTGCATATGGAATTACTGCAGGATTGGGTGCAATATGTGACAATTATCATTAAAGACTATTCAATTACATTTGAATGTAGATTAACCAAAGAAGAGGAAGTCAGTTATTAATTCATATTAAAATGAACTATGCTGACATTCTTTTAATCAGTCGTATCCTATGATGGTCACAAACTATTTTTTTCTAAATTGCAAGATTTGAGGAGACAAAAATCTAGATGGTTTTTTTAATTTCAAGGTATTATTTAAAATGATTTTTGATAGAGATTTGAAAAAGAATGCATTACAGATAAAATGTATGTGCATGGATCACTAGCCCTGTACCTGAGAGGAGATGTAAATGTAAAATTAATTCTCTCCTGCTCCCTCATTTCCCGCTAAGGTGAGAAAGAACCTGTATTAAAGATACAAGAGCACTTTTTCCTGATTCCTCCACAGAATTTTATTGCACTGTGCTTGAGAGAAAGCTATTTTGGGCCAATGTGTGTCTTTAGTGGCTTTAAGGAATACAATGAAGGAATAAAGGTTAATAGATTCCCCTCCCTCTTGTCCTATAAGTAGAAGCAGCAGGGGTGGTCCTCAAGCCATCGTCCTCATAGCCAGATGTTCTAGTACAAGCTGCATTAGTGGAAACACTGTGGAAACACCTTCAATGTACATTTTAAAAATGACACCTACAAAAGAGTAATATGTACAAAAAAAAGCCAGTTGGTTATTAAAACAAGCACCCTCGACCTTTTCATACATGATCCTCTTGTTATCGCTAGCATATACCACCTTTGCTGAGGTGATTTCTGAAATTCTAAAAATCTTGTGAACTGTTAACACCTTCTGTATCAATCCCATAGTACCATTAATGATACTCTTTTGTTTTCTTGTAAGGTAATTCTTTCTTATTTCATTTGAACAATTTATTCTGCATTGTTAGTGCTACACTAATTGGACATTAAGGCTAATTGAACATTTCCTATTCTAGTTGGTGTTTCCATATTTGTTTTCTAGTAGTGTAGTATAATGAATGTATGTAATGCCTAATCCATTAATTGTAACAGAGAAATAGACTGCATGTGAGAAGAATGCAGAAAAATAACATTACTCATAATCTCTTTCCAGCTGGATCCTGACGCTAGTGTTGTTCTCAAAGAACTTCAGGTGAAACTCAGTAGCGTACTGGATGAGCTCAGCATTGCCTATGGCGCAAGGTAATAAACGTACTTAAAGAATTTGTGCTACAGTGATGGCAACCATTAAAAATTCTCCATTGTGCCTCAAACCAGGCAGATGTGCATAGCCAAAAGCCAATCCATTGACTAGATTGGGTGAGTGTATGTCTTTTCACGTACAGCTTGCTCCAGTGTAGCAAGATCCACTGCATGAATATGTGTGTATCTCTGACTGGCTGGCTGTACGTTTTGGAAAATACAGCACTATCCTCACCTCCAAAGGACACTGAAACTAGTGTGTGGGCATGAATGGGTTATAGTGACACAGCTGGAAATTTTACTTTCTGCTTTTGGAAGATAAAAATGGCTCGATTTGTTCTTAACTAATACAATGTTCAACCTCTCTTTTACTGTGTGTGTGTTTTGATTTCCTGAGACTGACAGCTTTGTCCAGTAGCCTGCCCCACTCAGGTAGCCTGTCTGAATTTACCCTTCTTCAAATGGTCACTGTGAAGCCCTCTTGAGTCATTTGCTCTGCCAGTGTCTGGTCTGCTGGAATCAGCTAGTGAGCCTTACTCTTGAATCAGTGTGTATGTCGCTGGCCAGAATGCGGTTTGCACCGTACCAGCAACATATCTGAGTCTTGCTATTGGAAGCAAAAACCATAGGACTGTTTTTGCCTTTGCTTGAAAAGGAATATAAGAGAGAGTGATTGTTCAGGGAATCTGCAACCGTGGGAGGCAGGTGAAAGTTTTAGTTGCTCAGTAACAGTTAATGCCATATTCATACAATCTGTGCAAATTGTTTTCCTTTTCAGTGTGTGGCTTCATTAACTCTGGAAAAGGATGGTTTGAATAAATACAATTGAGGAAGAGTCATGGCTGCCTCAGATCATTAATAGGCTGAGACAACCCAAATAATAGGGAAAATTAAGTGACTTAGTAAGAAGGGGAAATGTCAGCCAAGAATTAAATGGTGGATAATACCTGTACTAGCTCCCTGTGGTCTCTTCTCTCCCTGTCTTAAAAGGTCACTGTTAACTAGATGAAGCACTGTGTTTGATTTTTCCTAAAATTGGTATAATCTTCTGGGTGAAATAGTTTTTTAATTTAAAGAAAATATCTACCACTTCGTTAAGATAAGAATGAGTGGTCATAGGGGCCTATATTTTTCACTCTTCTGCAGAAAAGCCAGTCATCCAACAGCTCTCATTCCCATTGCCAAAGTTGGTCAAAATGTCCCCAATCTGGCTTTGTGCGTTTCTCATGTGCTTTCTTCTCCCTTAAATTTGTCCATAGTTTGTGCCTGTGACACCCTCTAACCAAAAATCAGCACATGGGTACCCAGATAGCTTCATAGCCTTACTCTGAAGAAAACCAAGTAAAACTTCTCTAGGAGGCCTTCTGCCACTTCTGATTCTTATCTCATTCTTTTAGAGGCTGCCCATGTGGCCATGCTGAGTTAATAAGTGTGGCAGCAGTTTGCTCAGGATGGAGTTGTCTATAGCACCAAGCAGCGAACATTGCCTCAACTAATTGTGGTTGAACAAGATGCAGCAGTTTGGGTACTAGAGTAGACCCACTGCCTGCATAATCTGAATGAGAAAAGAGGTGGCTTTAAGAGCAGCACTGGCAGCCAGAAGAATTCTGAGGATGAACTGGGAAAGCAACTGTGCCATGCATTGGTTTTTGGGCTCCCCTTTATTCATTTCAAAGTTGGTTTCTGAGTAGGTGTCAGTGGAAAAGCCTTCTGTCTTCTTGGCAATCAGATGTGTTCATGTGGTTTTTTGTGTTGGGTTTTTGTGGTGAAGCACAATAGCTGGGAGTTTTCAGTCTGTTTTCACTTAGCTTGTTTGTTCTTTTACTAATTGTTTTTTGTAGATTCTTTAGCTACAGGCTTATCTATTCAATTTGTCTATGAATGCATTTAGAATTGATTATCACATTTATTGCCCCTGTGGTACTTGTGGTACTTTTACTTCTCTTGTGGTACTTTTACTTCTCAGATGCTTCTGAATACTCAGTTTTGCACTGTTTAAATGTACCAATCTATGTCCTCACTATGGCCATACTGCCCCTGTGTCACTCCTAGATTTTCTGTCAGGCAGATGCTGCTATATCGGAAGAGAATTGAACCTCTAGAAAAACAAGAAATGAACTAAATCAGTAAACTCACTTTGTGGGGAATTGAGAACAACTTCCACTCCCACACTTGTAAACAGAACTAATTTATACAGACCTATCAGTCCCCCATCTCCTCTAGTTTTTCAGCTGTGTGGAAATCAGTTCTTCAGAATAGAAAATCTGTTCCCACTTTTGAATTTAAAATGCCAAATATTCCCATAAAATGCATCTGGCATAAAGGTTTATGAAGCAGTCCAAATATTTTTACTCTCTTAACTAGGTACAAAGTAGTAAACAAAACTTTGCTGTGTTGGCACATGAGTCATGACAAGAAAAAGTCCAGTTTAGCCAACTAGGAAAAATTGGTAGAAGTCTTGTTATTTTCTATCTTCAAGGAGGATATTGACACCAAATGAATATAAAATTTACCAAAAAGAGAGAATATTTGCTAACACCCCCTTTAAAAATACATGTAAATAGAACTTATGTCTGTAATCCCCTCATACCAAAACTAAAAGCAGGAATAATTGTGCTGGCTAACGCTGATGTCTATCTTAACAGCCAGTCATACCTCAGTAAAGTCTCTGATTCACCTTCTTATTGTGTAATTCCTATCAGAAAATAGTTACTAGGACTCCTGTAGGGATAGGGACAATGTAAAAGGAAAACAAAACACAAACGTCAATGGTAAGTATATTATTTGGCCTTATACGAACTATAACTCTTCAGAAATGGTTATTTTCAGTTTCTAAATCATACAGTGCCTTAAGCTTGTGGGTTTCATATCTGCTCACAAATGATTTTGTGTTCATCGATGAAGTTGATGGAGTAGAATCTAAATAGTCATCTTCAGTCGTATAATTCCTCCACTCTCTTTTTTTCTCTTTAGTTTCCAGCTTGTTATTGAGGAGTGTGTGAGACAGATGAGCTTTGAGCTAAATCAGATGAGAGGAAATGGAAACGTATCGGCCAATAAGAACAATGCAGCTATCGATGCTGAGATTGTGCTGCGACCTCTCATGGATTTTCTGGACAAAATGTAAGTGAGGAGTAAAAAAGGAGTAATTTTAAATTGCTGGATGCCAAGGAATTTTATTTTAAAAATTACTAAAAATATTAGGTCCTATTTAGCATATCATGGATAAGCTAAAAAGTTTATAGTTGGGCGAAGTAAGCAATCTAAATCTTCTGAAATCGGTTACTTATAAAAAGCCATTTAAGGAGCTATTTTAAATCAGGACAATTGACCAATATTAAGAATCTTAATCCATTGAAATCCCACTATTTCTTTGTTTACCAGTGTTTACTCCCTGTCTCCTTTCCAGGAATACATAGTCTAACCCAGGGGTCGGCAACCTTCGGCACGTGTCCCATCAGGGTAATCTGCTGTCGGGGCACAAGACTTTTTATTTACATTGACCGTCTGCAGGCATGGTCCCCTGAACCTCTCTGTGGCCATAGTTCGTCGTTCCTGGCCAATGGGACCAGTGGGTAGCGGCGGCCAGCACGTCCCTGCGGCCCACGCCGCTTCCCGCAGCTCCCATTGGCCGGGAACAGTGAACCGCGGCCCCTGGGAGCTGCAGGGGGCCGTGCCTGCAGGTGGTCAACATAAACAAAATGTCTTGCGGCCCACCAGTGGATTACCTTGATGGGCCGTGTGCCGAAGGTTGCCGACCCCTGGTCTAACCATTTGGTGATTAACAGGAGAATCTGTTTGTCCTAAATTACAACTGCATTTCCATTTCTCAACAAAATTATTATAAGATTTTTTAATTTTAATCCCTTGGTAATGTTTTAGTTAACTTTCTCTCACCAATACATGTTGAAGTATTGGGGAGGTTTTTCCTGGGTTGGTTTCCTCTTGAGTCTTCTCCGTTCTTTTTTCATCTGTCAGTAGCAGCTTGCTTGTATAGATGGGCAGGATGTGTTGTGGAGGGCATGCTGTTTAAGCAGGATAGCTGGGTGAGGGAAGGATAGGGGGGCTCACTTCAGAGTTTTTTAATATCCTTCTTCCTGTTTCTAGGGAATTTTATGAAAACACACCTCTTTCAGACTTGCATAGATTCAAAGTTGGTTGCTCTCATTCTTTCATTGACTCCATGCCCTGGGGGGTTGGCTTAGGTGACACCTTCAGCTCCTGAACATGCAGTCTGCCTAATGAACATGCAACACTATAATTGCCTTTGTTTTTGTATTGTTTTTTTGTGGGGAGAAAGCATCAGATAATTTTTAACGTTAATTTAAACTTTCTTTTTATTTAGTCCATTATGTGAGATAGTCATTCAATTTTATTGGCATTTGACAGGAAATGAAATTCTGATTTCAGAAATTCTGAACACTTCTTTTCATTATAGTTATAATTGAGTGTACTTAAATCTAAATTTAAACTTAAAAGTTTTTAGTTCTCAAATCAGTCTTTTCAAGATTCAGGAATTCTTATTGTGTTTAGTCTAAATAGTTATTAAAGAAGTTGTTTATTCTTCATAACAACTTTTGGAGAGATGATGATTCTTGTCTTCCTGAATTGGTTGAGGGAGTTGTTTGATCATGCCAATTTAATTAGTTCCCCATTATTAGAAATATTCTATACTGAAATGGCTTTTTGTATTAGTAATTAGTTTAGCAAGGTCCTTAGATTTCAGGTTGGTATATAAAGCATTTTACCATTGACAATGATATTAGGAATTATATTAGGAGCTTTGCATTTAACTAACATAGTTGAAAGTCTGCATTTCACAAAGGTGTTTGTCATTTCAACATTTAAAAAAAGTTTAAAACATTTCCAACTACACACATTTTTCTCTAAAGTTTTAAGGACACAAGTGGAGGTTTTTCTTTGAAAAAATGGGGTATAGCCTACTTTACCACTTAGATCTATTGCTCTGAAACACAACCCCCTACATTCCTTTTCACAATCAGGTCTTTTCCTAAAACATGAATCTTTTACATGGTTTGTTTTCTTGATGTGAGGATTTGTACCAAACTGGTATTTTATATAATGGGACGTGTCCTGGTTTAGATAAGACACTTTTGCTGAACCAGCATGTCGATCTTTAATATGTGCTCATGGTTAATGCCTGGCTTTGAGGGCAATAATTGTGAAATATTGCTCAACGGATGGAAAGGTTTTCTGGTGTTATGACTGTAATGCGCAAAGGCTAATTCAAAGGATTAATTCATAATTGATTTTCTTCTTCGAGTGATAGTCCCAACTGTATTCCACTGTGGGTTACACATGTGCACCATGTGCCTGGAGCCAGAGATTTTGAAAGTAGTGTCCGCTGGTCTGCGCATGCATCCTGGCTCATCTTGTGCCTCTGACCGAGGGAACAAAGGTGGGGTGGATCGACCGTCTCTTCCATTTCCTTCTCACCACCACATGGTACTGGTTGGAACCTTCAGTGTCTGCGGCTTGGGCTTTGCCCTACAAAATAAGAATTATCTAGTTTGTAAACAGTTTTAACAGTTAGAATTTTATAGTTCTTCAGTGTTTAGATTATTCTCCTGGGGGGACCTCCTCCCCCATGCAACCCATTCAGGTACCGGACTATGCCGAAGACTCTGGGCTTCAAACTCTACGCTTCCTGTGTGCAGTCCTTCTCGGTCAGCAACAACCACCAGTGCTGCCTGTACTACCTTGTGGAAGCTCACAATGCAGCAAGGTGCAATATCTGCCAATCATTCCCCAGCTGTGCACGAGAAGGGTGGGAACTTCATCTCTGCAAATACCTCATGGAGAAAGCCATGAGACCCCAGTCAGACCCAAGCCAGGGAACTACCCCATACATCACCCTAATTCAGCAAGGAGCGTGCCTCCTGCTGCAAGCTCCGACTGTAGTGTGGGAGAATCTACCCCTCACAGGCGGGATCTCATCAAGAAGCCAGGAAGCACTCTCATTAGCATGTGACTAAGTCTTCTTCTAAATCCACTTCAAAGAAGTCTGATTCATCTCTAAGTAAGCCCATCACCTTGGCTCATGAGGACTTAGTATGTCCTAGGTCCCAGAGGCATTATAAGAAAGCCCATAAGCATTGGGCTGCATCAGTACCAGACCACATTCCTTTGGTACGATCACCCTCGGCACCTCCGGAACCCCGGGATCCATTGGCACCAATGAAATCTGATCACTGTTAACTTCGGGCATCTCCCTCATCGCCGGCTTTGGTGACTCGGAACAAGTGGAAGGTCCTCTCACTGAGGAGGTCTGAATCCGTTGCCACCCCACATGACATTTTTGCTTTCCTGGATCTGGAATCCCCTCCTTCTACAGGAAGAAAACTCCACCAAGGGAGTTGACTGCTGGAAGGAGTTTATCACCTATCCCATAGGTGGAATACATCTCCCCTCCAGTGGCACCAGGTGTACCACCGCTGGAATTGGAATCAGCCTTCTCTGCATCCAGAGATTCCAAACCACCTGAGGAACCTTTCTTCTCTTATCTTACCTATCCTCCACCACCCAAAAGATCTGGGCTTGTTTAAAACTAACTTCTGCCTTGTCTAACTCTGAGCTGCTGGTACCCCATGCCATAGGGGCCCCATGACCACCTACAGACCCCCTTCTACTGGCCATATTGGGGGGGTTGGGATCAGTACCCCCCTGCAGAGTTGATCGATTTGCCAGGGAGTCACCCCTTGTCTCCTCTGTAAGGGGATGCTCAGATCTGCCACCAGAGCTGACAGAGGAAGAGGAGGAACATTATGCTCTGGATCCAGCAGTTCCACTGTTACCAGTAAGACTACCATCTTCATCTTCAGAGGATGCAGTAACTCCTGTTCTCCCCACACACCCCAAATGACTTCAGGCAGTTCTCGGACCTTTTTCACAGAGTTGCTGGAGAACTTCAGATTCCTCTTGAAGAGGTCCATGACTCCCAGAACAAATTCTTAGATATCCTCCACACATCCGGATCCAGCAGAATATCTCTCCCCACTAATGAAGTCATACTGGAGCAAGATAGGACAGTTTGGCACACCCCTGCCACCTGCACTCATACCCCCAAAAGGGCAAAGAAAGTTATGTGCCAGCCAAAGGAGCAGAATTTTTGTTTTCTCACCACGCTCCCAACTCACTGGTGATCCACACCACTTCTGAAAGTGCTAGACAGCAATATCCCCGGTCTACTCCCACTGACAAAGAAGGCAAATGCCTGGATCTGCTGGGGAGAAAGGTCTTCTCATCATCCAGCCTCCAGTTCAGAATAGCCAATTACCAGGCACTAATGGCTAAATATGATTTCCTGAACTATGCCAAGTTTACTGACAGCATTCTACAGCTAGACAGAGCTTGTTTCCAAGCTCTGATAGATGAAGGCAAACTGATAGCCAAGACTGCTCTCCAGAAGCTGCAGTCAGTGGTGCTGATATCATCTAGAGCTATGGCTACTGCCGTCATCATGCTCAGGGAGTCATGGCTCCATGCATCAGGGCTCCCTAGAGAGGTCCAGATTACCATTGAGGACCTCCCCTTTGAATCACACCTCTTCAACCAGAAGATGGACAAGTCCCTATATGCCCTGAAGGACCCTAGGGCTACCCTGCACTCATTGGGAATAACTGCTGATCATTCAGATCTAAACATATGGCTCAGCAGTTTTCCCATCAAAGACTCTGTGAACTACCACATAAGAGACAAAGAGTTCAAAAATCCTGCTTCCTCACACACACTGCAACAGGCTCTGCATCCCAACCTCAACCTCTGGCTTGACATTATTTTTGATGGGAGCTTGAGAACCACAAAACATTAAGCACAACACTCCCAAGCCCCACACACCATTTGGGAGTCATCTAGTACTCTTTTTCAACACTTGGAATGCAATAACAACAGACACGTGAATGCTGAACGTCATCCACTCTGGGTATATGATAGAGTTTGCATCCCTACCTCCTCCAAAATACCCTCCCCGTCCCTCTTCAGGGGCTACTCTCACAAGAGTATTCTCAAACAAGAGTTGAACTACTTGTTGCAGTGAGGAGCGATAGAACATGTCCTTCCTCAATACCAAGGGAGAGGGCTTTACTCAACTTACTTCCTAGTACCCAAAAAGAAGGGCAGTTGGAGACCAATCCCGACTTCTGCCAGCTCAACCACTTCATTCACAAACTCAGTTTTCGCATGGTCTCGTTGGCCTCTATAATCCTATCTTTAGAAAAGGGCATGTGGTTCATGGCTCTCAATATGAAGGATGCCTACTTTCACATAGACATTCATCCCGCTCACAGACGATTCCTTGGATTCATGGTGGGCGCCGAACATTTTCAGTACAGAGTACTCCCCTTTGGAATAGAGAGTCTTTACCAAGATATTCTCAGTAGTAGCAGCCCATGTCAGATGTTGTGGGCTCATTGTCTTTCCCTATCTCAATGACTGGCTCCTTGTTGCCAAATCCCGCCAGCATGCCTATGCATCAACTTCCATGATGCTACACCTTCTCTCCGCACTGGGAGTCAGTGTAAATGCCAAAAAATCTGTTCTCACCCCCCCTCCCCAATAATCTCTGGACTTCATCAGGGCAACCTTGAATTCTATCACCGCAAGAGTGTACCTGCCCAAGGACGGATTCCAGACCATGAATAATGTCATAGCTCGCATCACAAGCAACCCTCAAGTACTGTTCAAGATATGTCTGTCTCTCCTAGGTCATACGGCCTCATGCACTTATGCCAACCTTTAAATGTGGCTGCAGTCAGTATACTCCCCAAACCACCATTCCATGAACCCCATGGTACAGTTTCGGCCAAGGTAGAGTCTTCCCTACTATGGTGGACAAATCCTCGTTAGGTATGCATGGGCATCCCCTTTTCTCTCCAACCCTCTCTGGTCAAGACCATTATTACAGATGCATCCCTATTAGGTTGGGGAGCCCATATTAACAGCCACACAGCACAAAGTTCCTGGATATCTTGAGGGTCCAGAATGCACATCAATATCCTGGAGTTATGAGCAGTTCGGAAGGTATGCGAGTCCTTTTTTCCCTTCATCCACACTCACTGTGTCCTTATAACATCAGATAATGTTACGACTACTGTATCTTCTACACCAACAAGCAGGGAAGAGCGAGATCTGCCTCCTTGTGTGCAGGAGTCAGCCTCTGGAACTGGTGTATCAGCAATCAAATCATCCTATCAGCAGTCTACCTTCTGGGAAAGCAAAATGTGCTTGCAGACTCCCTCAGCACACATTTTTCAGTCAACCACAAGTGGGAGCTCGGTTACTGGACAATATTTTCACTCTATGGGGGAACCCCAACAAGGGATCTGTTCACTTCTCATGCAAACAGAAATGCACCACATATTGCTCCAGAAGAGCCCTCGGTCATCACTCCCAGGGTGATGCTCTGCCTCCTCCTTAGTTGGACCAGCTCAACTATGCCTTCCCTCTGCTACCGCTCCTGCCACAAGTTCTATGCAAAATCCGTCAGGACAGAGCACGGGTCATCCTGATTGCCCCCTTCTGGGCCAGAGAGTTTTAGTTTCCCAACCTCCTACACGGGCATCCTGACCACCAATCATCCTCCCAACATTTCCCAAGCTCCTGACCCTGTGCAACAGCAAGATCAAGCACCCTGATCTGCATCCACTCCATCTCAGAGTTTGGTATTTGGATGGGCATCATCCTTAGAACGTTCATGCTCCATAGCTATACAAGACACATCCTCTCTAATAGTAGAAAGGACTCTACTAGATGTTACCTAGCTAAATGGAAGAACTTTTCTTCCTGGGCACATCAAAGAGGCATTCTCTGAGAAACTACAGATATTCCTCTCATCTTGGTCTATATTCTTTCTTTGAAGACATCAGGCTGTATTCCAATACCCACCTTCCTTCCCTTCTGCTTCAGATCTTATCTGATTTGCAGTAGAGAAGGAACTGGAGAGGCGGTCAGTCCACTCTGCCCTTTATCCCCTCAGGAAGAGACATGAGGTGAGCCAGGATGCATGCACGAATTAATGAAAACTACTTTCAAATTCTCAGGCTCAGGGTATATTGTGCACATGCATAACCCACAGTGGATTACAGTTAGGGATCACACACTCAAAGAGCCTCCTGTTTTCTTTCTTTCTTTCTCTGGGACATAATTTTACACTGTTGTTGCTTCTAAAGGTCACATCTTTATGGGCTATGTTTTCAGAGATTCTGAGCACTCTCAACTCCCATGAAAGTCAATTGCAGTATCTTAGCACCTCTGAAAGTCAGTCTCTTTGTATGCTCTTCTGTTTTCCTTTTCAGAAAGTTGAGACATTTTTACTTGCTGCTTTGTACTTTGAAAATATAATTTACATGAGCATGTTTCCTGCTTGGGGAGTGTGAGTGATTTAAGTGGATTCCCAGAACACCAAAACTAATAGACCCCAATTGAATTTTTGGTGAATATTTCTTCCTAGAAACTTACATCTTGGACAGGGTCCAAGAAATAATGACTTATTTTTCCACTGAGATTGCAGGCCCATGTTAGGAAAGCAGGAAGTGCATCTGAAGAAGGTGAAGACAATCTAAAAGGGCCCAAAAAGGAGCTGCAAGGAGGGGAGAAGGAAATAGAAAGAGTTTTTTGCTTGCTTTCTGTAGGTTTCATGTAATATATTAAATACACCATAGAGTACTGAGGAAAATCTGGGAGAAATCTGTACACTCTGTTTATTTGGTTCTTTGTCAGTTGGCACTGGAGCTCAGTGTAACTGGCAGTGTGGAAAGTGCCCATTCTTTTCCCTTAATTTACTCGTAGGAGCTGACTGTTTCTGCAACACTGGCAGCTGCAGAAGCCAGATTCCTAACCCCGAGAGAAGCTTTCCAGCAGCTGTATCTATATGTCAGGCTTTCATTTCTAACCATCTATCTAGTCCTGTGTGTAAAGCCGCTGGAAGCATAGACTTTCGTAGTCTTAATTTCCTTTGACATGAGGAACATGATTCTCTTATAAGTCTGTAAGAAGACAAAGGCCAAAAATCTTCACAAACACACATGATCTGTCCTTGAATAGTAAGAATGGAATAACCCATTTGATTCCCTCTTCTATTGCATCAAACCACAAATCAATATATATTGAAGTTACCTAACACACCTTCCTTGAAATATAAACAAATACAAATTTAATTTTTTAAAAGAGGTTTTAAATACTTGCCAAAGAGACACCACCATTTTTGTAGAATTTAGATGTATATTTAAATGTAAATGTAATCCAAACAAACATATATACAAAACAAGGAGCTGAGATAAAAATGCTTCTAAGGAGTATCACCTGCCTTGCAAATACATGTGATTTCTGCTGTGATTATTTCTCTATTACTATCACTTTTCATATGCATACCTATAATAGCTAGTAGAAAGATTAACTGGTACATGTACATACCTATAATGTGATTTGTACATCCTCTATGTTATATGCTCATTTACATGATCAAAACTTACATAATACTATAAGACTCCCCACATACGTATTTACAAATTGCTGTTTTTTAAAAGAATAAACAGAAGATTTTTTCATTTGTGTGCACTGCAGTAAAAGGTGCTTAATTCCACATATAGCATGTTTCATGAATACCCAATTCGATCCTAATAAACCTGTGATGGGGAAGCGATCCTCCAAACACTTATTACAGAGCCTGTTCTTACTACTCAGTAGTCCCATTGACATCAGAAGAAATGTGTATGCATAACTGTAAGTGTTTCAAGGCGTCAGCCCAAAATTTGTCTGATATCACAAGCAGTTTCAACTGCACAGATGCAACATAGGACAACAAAGGAGCTTTTTCTTTTTAAGCAGAAACTAATTTCACAATAACCCTTTAAGTTTTAGTTTTTTAACTATACCAATCATTTGAGCATAACTTTACAGTTCAACCGTTATGTTTCATTTTCAATAAATACAGTGCTGTTGGGTATATTAAACTGAGCATGGTAAAAGGGTTGCTGGATGTTTACATGGAATGTTTGTTCCTAATCTAGAAGACAAGATTTGAAATGTTCAAAAATCCATATGAATAATGCTGTGAAATAACACTGATGTCTAAAAGGCATTATTGGCATAGTGGTTCAGAGAAACTGTAGCACAAGGTAGCAGTTAATCTGAGTTTATGTTAATTCAGAGCCTTTGATGTTTTAATGCTAGATTTGGAGACCAGCCTGTGTTTTACTTTATTCCAGTTTAAGTCTCTCTGCAAAAATCTGTGAGAAGACAGTTCTGAAACGGGTTTTGAAAGAGCTGTGGAAATCAGTCCTGAACAAAATAGAAAAACAAATTGTGCTTCCACCATTGACAGACCAAACCGTAAGTGTCCAAGCCATGATTCACACACATTTAAAACCTATGCAATAATCACCTTACTTAATCAGACATCTGGTAGCAGTTTTTTAAAACATCCTTCCAGAAAATTGCCCCCAAAGAGGAACTTGGTCACTATATGCAGCTTGCTGGGTACTTTTTCAGCAGAAAAGCTGGAGCAGATCTTTAGTAGCTGGTTTGCAAATCCTCGCTATTGGGTGTCCTGCCTGCCCATCCTAGATTGGGGCATTCTCGCAGTGCATTTCATCAAGGTGGGGTGCAATGTAAAAGGCAGGATCGCTTTCATAGAGCATGTTTTTAAATGTTATTTGTGATGGCTTTATTGCCTGTGGTGAAAATTAATAGCCAGATGATGCCTCGCCCTTTGCAGGTGTGCAAGGACAAGAGAGAACACAAGCAACCCGCCACAGTGGGCATTCAATCACTGTACTATTTCAGCACAGATGCTAGCCTTCCTAGGAGGCTAAGGGGTGGGGATGCAGAGTGAGAGCAGGCAGGGTCATGGCCTTGTATGCCCTTCCCCAAAAGCCTCCTGCTATATGACGCCTCATCACCACCCCAAAATGCAGCCACTTCCCAGCCAGTGACTCAATGCCACAGTCTGGCTCTAGATTTGTTAACCAGACATAGAGAGATCCCCTTTGCAGCAGGGGAGGGGTTGCTTTACCAGGATGACAGGAAGCCGGGAACATGGTACAGCTGGAGGAGGTCGTTGTGCTACCCAAGGCAATAGTGAGGGTAGCCTGACATGATCCTCAAATGGGGATGCCATCTAGGGATACTGTACTTACAACACTGGTGTAGGGGGTTTGTCAAATTCTGGATGTACCTTATGAGAAAGCAGTAAAATAATGATCTCAGACTGTTGTGATTTTTTGGGGGTGAGGAGAGGTAGTGTAATATAGAAATATTATTGTTGTTGTTTGGTGTGTGTGTGTGTGTGTGTGTGTGTGTGTGTGTGTGTGTGTGTAGGAGGGTTAATCTTGCATTTAATGAGTCTGCTGTCTTTTGTTACAAGTGGATTATTATATTGTTACAGTGTGTCCAGGGACGATGTTCCTGTATATATTGTTTTGTCATTAAAACGGCTAACAACACAGCAAGGGAGCCAAAAAGTAAGAACTGAAGCAATTGCACTCACAGAGCTGCAGATGACATTTATAATATTTATTCAGTTTCAAATGTAAATTATATCTATTAGAACGCTATACAGCAGGGGCAAGCTCAAATCTCGCACTGATGACATAATTAATCACCACTTTCCAATAGCAACAATTAAAATTTTGTAAACTATTGTGACATACTATAGACAAATCAAAGAAGGGGTTTGTACGTATGCAGTGAAAGTATTATTAAACAAGCCTGCAGTTAAATAATGCTGGACCGAAGAGCAGTCCACATTGTGGGTCTGTCCTAGAGCCACTGACCCTGGAAACATCTCAAGTTGGGCAAATTGACATTTTCTGACAAAACTCTGTTACCTCAGAAAATCCTTGACCATATCTAATCGCAAACTATATGAAGCCAACAAGAGCCTTGTCAATTTCATAGCTGTTTATTGTAACCCTGTAGTCAACTGGGAAACTGACAAAAATCATGTCACCTTGCTATTTGGTTAAGCTCTGGCGAAAGCTTAGAGTGAAAAGACCTGCCCAGTTCAGGCAGAAGCCAGGAAGAGAGGAGGTGGGGTAAAACCTGAGGACCCTCTTCCTCCTCATCTCCCACCCAATTGTCATGAGGCTTTTGGATGGCAGTTTTTAGGGTCCAGTGAGAGTGTGCACCTTCTGCTTTCCAGGAGCCAGATGAGTGTGTGGGCTTCACATTTATCATCTACTAGCCAGAGGGCAAAATGGACAAGGACAGACCTGGATAGAAGTCCAACTTCAGTGTCCTTCTAAACAGCAAGGTTGGATTGGGCTGGGCCCCAGAACCTCACTGGTTTGAAATACCCCTCACACACACCTTTAACATTGCCCCCTGACTAGTAGCTGTCTAGTATATTTTTCAAGCCTTGTTTATCAGGTGCATAATAGAAGCAGAGAGATAAAATAGAACATTTATGATCTGTAGTGGTCAAGGGAGGGGAAAATTAGTTACAAAAGAATACTGGACCAGTTTTTAAATATGATCACAGCACAACAAGTGTGTACAGTGCTTCACCATCTGTTAACTTCCAAATATGTAACTTCTATAAAGTGATACACAATATGATGGATAAGGTGCATAGCCACACGCTGGTTTCATTTTTCGCTAATCTTATTTGTAATTAACCAAATTCAATCAACAATAGGATGCTTCAGGGAAGTTCCTTCCCTTTACATAGACATGAATACCACTTCCCTTACCGGAAGGTACAAGCACAGACACGCTGAAACAGAACTTGTTTTACAATGTGCAAAATTTTTCTCTTACCATTCTGGCTGCTAATAAGCAGTGAGAATTTAAGCTGAGTTTATAGATTTGAAAAGTAAAATGTCATTAGTAGGGATACACAGAAACACAAAGACCAGTTTTGAAAATCGAGATCTTCTGGAAAGAAAGGAACGATTGATGAAAAATTGTTCTATTGTCCCATGTAAGTTGAGCTGATTTCTGTCATTTGTCTTTAATGGAAGCCAGTCATCTAGAACCACTCCTTTTTAAGCTGCCAAAAACCACTGGTAATTACAGTTCTTGGGGTAATTGTGCTGCAACAAATGTTTACAGTGCATTGTAGTAGGATTCCAAGCAGATGGTTGTTTAACATAAAGGGGTAGCATAAGCCGTCTACATCTTGCCAGGATTTGATTATTACAAAATATTGTTTTGTCTGCATATATGCTGTTCAAATATATTTCAACACAATGTTTCTGGTTCAATATAGGGATGCTTGGACTTTATCCAGCCCTCTTTACACAAGTGAATATTTCATAGAAGTCAATAGGAGTTGTGTTTCTCAGGTTTTGCAGGATTGGGACCACTGTACTGTATATTTCCAAATATTTTGCTTTGTCAACTCCATCAAAATATGACTTAATTGGAATTGAAGGTTTTATTTAACTTTTGATCTGCAGAATACTGAAGATAACCAATGTGATAAAGGGCTTTTCTAAAAAAAAAAAAAAAAAAAAAAAAGGGCAGCCATTTAACAATAGTAATGATGTTGAGATAAAAAGCAAAAGCTCTGTAGTAATGTTGAAAATTCTGTATCTTCAGTTTCAATTTTGTTTGTTTATAGGGGCCCCAGATGATATTTAGTGCTGCTAAAGATCTTGGACAATTGTCGAAGCTGAAGGTAACGTAGGTTAAAATGAATCTACATATGTCCAACTGTAAGGAAAGGGTGGATAAATTGTATGCTTACCCTCTTCTCCTCACTCGTGCTTACTGTCATAACAGGCCCATTGAAGTCAATGGGGCAGCTTGTGTGAGTAACTGCTCAGCAAAATAAGTAATGGTTTCACAGTCTGTATCTGAATATGCACTGCACTGATCACTAGTTGCTGTCAGGAAAATATTCCTCCGAGCTCCATATTGCATAAGTGACCAGGTGTAATATGAGTATTTTAAACCTTCTCCTGAAGCATTTAGCATTGGCCTCTGTCAGTGCAGCATTGGCCTGAGGTTACAGGGCTACATGGATCTATTCCAGCATGGCAATTCGTACTGTGTGTTCCTGTGTATCATACCACAGATCTTCATTGTAACTGTCTATTTTATTAACATGAAATTATCCTACTCCGTGGTTTGCTGCAGAATTAGCTTTAATAGAAATTGTGGACCATTACATCTGGCTTCCTCCTGGGACCAGCTTTAGGGAAAATAAAAATAGTACATGACCACTTGTAAATTTGTCCTGCTCATTGTCTACAAAGAATATAATGGTATGTTCTGTGCTTACTTTCTTCTACATTAAAATTCTAGAGCACTCTGTTTCCATAGGCAGTAACTGGTGTTGTGTCTTCATGGTTCATTTCTAGTATTGACAAGCAGCTCTGGTTAATGGGAAAAGGATTGGGTCTCATAAACTTTGGCAGTAAATATAAAAAAATAATTAATTTGTAAACAGTCAGCACAGTTTTGACATCACCATATAAACACTCCTGCAATGTGCACAGAAACATGTGTATGTGTTACCACATACATAATACCGTACTCATATATAACGGTGTACGTAGAAAATAGTGTCACAGCAGTGAACCCTATAGTTTTAGTCTCACTTGTATTTATATTACCCTCTGCACAATATATAATGTACCCAACATTCTTTGCTATTACTCCTGCTCAGGTACAAACAGAACAAAAATTGCCCTGTAGTAGTTATTAAACAGAGGCTGTCACAGCAGCTGCGATGCTGCATCCCAACATAAACATGCAAAGCAATATAAATTGACTTTTTTTTAAAACACAAGGTCAAATTGTGATTCTGCTCCCTGCAAGGATGCACAAGGGGCCAAGGACACAAGACACCCCTTTCCCACCTCTTGTGCTTCTGTGAATATGATTAGGGAGTTCAGTCACTACTCCTTCACAGTGATCCCATGGATACAAGGTGCCTGATACGAGCATCATGGCCCACATACACCTCTATGCTGGCCTCTAAATCTGTCCAACTCAAAGAATATGAGAATGGCCATACTGGGTCAAACCAATGGTCCATCTAGCCCAGTATCCTCCAACAGTGGCTGGTGCCAGATGCTTCAGAGGGAATGAACAGAACAGGGTAATTATAGAGTGATTCGTCTCCTGTTCTCCAGTCCCAGCTTCTGGTAGTCAGAAGTTTAGGGACACCCACATCTTAGGATTGCATCCCTGACCATCTTGGCTAATAGCTATTCATGGAACCTATTCTCCATGAATTTATCTAATTCTTTTTTGAACCCAGTTATAGTTTTGGCCTTCATACCATCTCCTGGCAACAAGTTCCACATGTTGACTGTGTGTTGTGTGAAAAAGCACTTTCTTTGTTTTAAACCTGCTGCCTAATAATTTCGTTGAGTTTGAGTGTTATGAGAAGGAGTAAATAACACTTCCTTATTCACTTTCTCCACCCTATTCATGATTTTATAGACCTCTATCATAGCCCCCCTTACTTGTCTTTTTTTTTTTTAAGCTGAACAGTCCCAGTCTTTTTAATCACTCCTTCATATGGAAGCTGTTCCATACCCCTAATCATTTTTGTTGCTCTTCTCTGTACTTTTTCCAATTCTAATGTATCTTTTTTTGAGACGGGAGTGACCAGAGTTCCACACAGCATTCAAGATGTGGGCATACCATCCATGGATTTATATAGTGGTACTACAATATTTTCTGTCAGCTTTTTTGACTGCCGCTACATATTGAGCAGCTGTTTACAGAGGGCTGTCCACAATGATTCCAAGCTCTCTTTCTTGAGTGATAACAGCTAGTTTAGACCCCATCATTTTCTTTGTATAGTTGGGATTATGTTTTCCAATGTGCAGCATTTTGCATTTATCACCATTGAATTTCATCTGCCATTTTGTTGCCCAGTGACCCAGTTTTTTGAGATCTCTTTGTAACTCTTCACAGGCAGATTTGGACTTAACTATGTTGATTAATTTTGTATCAGCTGCAAACTTTGCCATGTCACTGTTTCCCCCTTTTCCAGATCATTTATGAATATGTTGAACAGAAGTGGTCCCAGTACAGACCCTCGGGGTACCTGCCGCACTGTGTGCTGCCTGGCTGCAGCACTGTCCCTCTTCACCCCCATAGTACTTCTTGGGGGACAAAGGGACTGAGTGACTCATGAGTAGAGCTGGTCGAAACTCTGAATTTCCTTTTTGTGGGAAAATTTTGATAATTGTTTTTGTTCTGATTGTAAATGAAAACAAATATTTTCAAAATTTCCTGTAAAATGGAAATTCTGAAAAATGTAAGTTTTTTGGAAAATTCTAATTTTAAATTTTATTTTATAGGGTTTTTCATTTTTATATGTTTTAATGTTTATGTTATTTCATGATCTGTCAGCAGGAGCAGTGCATAATAGTTGATGTTCTATTATTACTGTATTTTAAAAATGACTAAGGGCAGCTGCCACTTTAGTACTGATTGAAACATCTTTTTTAGATCAAAGTGTCTCCTGTTGTGTTGCAATGAAACAGTTTGACGCTGTGATTTTAAAAATAAAATTAGTCTATTTCAACTATATTGTTATATTATGGCATGTCAGTAAAAGTAGTGCATATTATGATTACTGACATGTCATAAACAATATAATTTAAAAAAGAAAAAAGATCAAATTCAAAATTTAATTGAGAATCTAAAACTAAATTTCAAAATTTTCTGAAATAGATTTTTTTCTTATGGGAATTTTGTCAAAATTGACATCGTTTTATTAAATATTTCAGTTTTGACAATAATGGCATTTTTCATTAAAAAAAATTCAACCAGTTCTAGCAGTGAACACTTTCAAAGGGATTTGTGTCCCTAAGTCATTTTGGCTAGTTGGGGAAATCCCAGTCAAAAGACATAACCTAGCCCTTACTGTACTGCCACAGATTCCATCCATGAGCACAAATCAGTGTGTTACATTAGCAAATTACCCTACCATACCTAAAAACTTTGGCTAGACTCTTCATTTTTTACATGATTTTACATTTGTTTTATTGATGTTCTCCAGCTCTGTACCAACTTGCCATGGTATGGTATCATTCTTGGGCACAGAAACAGTCTCTTATCAGAGAAGTTAAAGCAGAGATAAAAGAACAGAAATGTAGCACTGAACCCATTCTTTGTATTCTCAATATGCAGGTAAATCTTCCTCTTCCAGAGGAATTCAGTGTAAAATTATTGATTCTTTACACATTCAGCTGCCTCCAGGAATAGTATGTGTAAAATGACAATGAGCTCTTACAGCCAGGCCAGCTGCAGTACAAATAAAACATCTTTCTATGTGGGATAAAGTAAAAGAGCAGACTTTTGCCAATGGTTTCCAAAAGGTTGATTGTTTTTCCTCTCTACACCAGTTTTGAACAGCTTAAGAAAGAAGCAGTTTTCTGTTACTCAACTGTGTAGAACATGAAATGCTAACATGAAAAAAAAGCTTCTGAGTTTGGTTTTTATGCCTGTCAGTTTCCAGCCAATACCAATACTGGCATTTGAGTTTTGAAGAAATGTGGCAATTTGTGTTTCTTTGAATAACAGCCCAATCTGATACAGCAATTAAAATACAGCCTAAGTATATAATGAGCTGTTGATTTCACAAAATATTTTTCAGGAATACAAACCCCTTTTTTCCTTTATTTATCTAACTTTCCTTCCAATCAGACTTTTGTTTATGTTTGAGCTTCTGCCAAACACCAATTAACAGTCAAATTTCATTAGTGAAACATGCAATTTTAATGGCATCCACAAGTATTCATCACAATTTATAATGTTTAATCAATTTTCTTTACAGAACAGAGAAACAACTTGTCTTTTCAAAATAATTGGAAAACACTTTACAGATACCCTAGCATTAAATTTCAGTTTTTCTTTTCAATTCTCATTTTCAACAAACAATGGAATGGCTTTGGGCTGTAGTTTATTTTAAAAGAAAGAGTCGAAGGGTGAGTGCATCCTTGCCAAATGTAGATGTTTTTTAAAAAGGCAAGAGAAGCAGCAAGACCTTATAACAGCTGCAATATTAACATGTTTTTCAGGACCACGTCACTCGAGAGGAAACTAGAAGTTTGACATTGAGGCAATGTGCAATAATGGAGGTAGCACTAGCTACAATTAAGGTACAGCTGTATATGTCCTGTATGCATATATTGTGTGTCTGAATGAGCAAATATATGATTGAAGTGTTTGCAGTATGAGCTAGATTCGAGCTGGCTCTGTGTGGGTTTACAGTGGTCTGGCGTAAATGTACAAGGGTCATAAAGATCTTTGCCCTTCTGTCACAATGTGTTTGGGGAGCACAGACATCATGCAAGGTGGTGCTAGGCTCCCTAAGGTGGGCTGAACACAAAGCTATGGTCCCCAGGTCCCTCTCCCCTCTCCGAGGAGGTGGCCAACTGTAGGCAGAGAATGCACTGCATCCATTCAAGCGGTAGCCAAGGTTTAGCTCTTTATTATCCTCCCCTGGTGGCCTAGAGTTAGTCTGGCTGAGTCAAATAGGTTGAGCTCTCCCTGTGCTGTAGCATGGCCCATCTATCTTCCTCAAAGCCAGGTTGGACCTCACAGGCACAGTCTACCCACAGTCCTGCAAACATAGATGAGAAAGGAAAACATTTCACAGCCTGTTCGAAGTCAAGGCATTTTTCTGTTGTACAACGTACTATTTTATCCACAAATGTCCAATTAAATTTGTCTCTCTACTTTTGTATTCACCCTCTAATTAACTGCCACCTGTACATAATTGGATTTCTTTCAAGGATGCCTTTTAATTATTCTATACAGTGGCCCCTTTTCAGTGAAACCAATCACATCTGTCAGGCAGCTGTTAAGAACACAACTGAATCAATTAATTTTGTGCGTGTCCACAATCTACAAGATAATTACTTTAGAAAAATCTGACTGTTACAGTAAATGCTTTACAAGTGGAGTTTTTTAGGGTAACCAAAATATTGTGCACAAAAAAGCTATTTTTCCTGTAGAAAGATTCTATCCAATCCCTTCATTTTAGCTATCACAATATTAACAGAAGTAGAAATTATTTCATTGGTATACCATTTTAGTATACCTTCCAGAAGAGGGTCTCAGAATGCTTTACAAACATTAAAGACCCCCCTGCCCAAGTAGAAACTAGTATTGTTATCCAGGGGTGAAAGTAACATTAAGCACTTACCGGTACGGGGACCCAGCTCTGGGCCCCCGGAAGGGGCGGGGCCTCGGGCAGAAGGGGTGGGGCTGGGGTCAGCCTCCCCCAGCCAGCCCATCCATGCTGCTTGGCCCGTGCAGCCTTGGGCTGCAACGGTGATTTAAAGGGCCCAGGGCTCCAGCCGCTGCCACCGTAGCAGCAGCAGCGGCCGGGAGCCCCGGGGCAGCTGCCCCTTCCCTCTCCCCCGTCGGCGGCCCGGGGAGGGGGGGCAAAAGGGGCAATGATGTTAAAGCGCTGCCGCGGAGGCGCTTTAACATCGGCTGAGTACGGGCTGGTACCGGCGGCCACTTCTTATCGGTACGCCATACCGGCCCGTACCAGCTTACTTTCACCCCTGTTGTTATCTTTATTTTACAAACAGGTAAATATTAGTGTAACTGAGTTAACTGCTGGATTAAAATGTGGTTGTGGTCAGAAAAGAGACTATTCTATGTAAAATGGCAGTGTATTTCTCAACAGCTCTGACCTCTATGTGAATATTTGCTGACTTGCATCACAAAAATCTTGTTGGCCAAGCAAAGCAAGGCCTTACACTCAACTTGATGGTATTTCTGTCTGTCTGTATCAGGAGTCAGCAACCTTTGGCACACGGCTCGCCAGGGTAAGCACCCTGACAGGCCGGGCCAGTTTGTTTACCTGCCGTGTCCGCAGGTTCGGCCAATCGCAGCTCCCACTGGCTGCAGTTCACCGTCCCAGGCCAATGGGGACAGCGGAAAGCGGTGGCCAGCACATCCCTCAGCCCGCGCCGCTTCCCGCCACCCCCATTGTCCTGGAGCGGCGAACCGTGGCCAGTGGGAGCCGCAATCGGCCGAACCCGCAGACGTGGCAGGTAAACAAACCGGCCCAGCCCGCCAGGGTGCTTACCCTGGCGAGCCGCATGCCAAAGGTTGCCGACCCCTGGTCTGCCCTTCTGGTCTGCCCACAAATATAATGTGATCATGTTTGAATGCCATATCCAGTCAATTTGAACGTTAAGGAAATGTTCTAGGTATCAAGGTGCCGAACCCTATTGATTTTTGTGAACATCAGAAAAATAGAAGGTATAAATGGAGGACACAAAGAGCTCTGGCATCTGGTTAACAGCTCCAGCAGCTTTAGCTACCTCTGCATCTGTCAGTAGATCAAAAAAAGTTGATGAAAGCTATTAATACCTTCCAACATAACAATACCCCCATCTCAGGTCTGCCTATCATCCTAATACAGTTTTAAATTATGGCACTGAATGACTCCCAGATAGAAAGAAATGAAATAAAAATGGTTAGGGGAACAGATGGAAGCCCCCCGGTCTGGGAGACAATGGTAAGCAGGGAAGAGAACAGTGGGGAGAAACAGAGCCCCGGCACGTGGTAGAGGGGGCACACAGCTACCCTGGCATGGGTGAGAGGATTGCAGGGAGTCTGTGAAATAGCGGCGGGTAGGAAGGTGATGCAGAGGGAATGGAGGAATACATGGTGCCTCTAGTGTGTGCAATGAGCTCAGCCTACAGAAGCAATGAAGTGTGTGACCCCCTAGTATTACTCTTCCTTCTGTTACCCTCCCAGAGCTAACACAGCTATAAGGCAGTGAACCTGTTTGTGTTCTTGCCCTTGTATCACTGGCATAATTATTAACTAAGTGATCACTCCAGAATCTTGATTATTGAAGATGTCAGAGTCCAGAAGAAGCCAGCTTGACTTTTCATTTGAGTTTTCAGAGTTGGCAGTTAGAGAAAACATCTTGTAAATTAAGCACATTTGATCTGAGAGTGACTGAGACACAATAATCTTTGAACCCCATGATGCCACTTTTCAAGTCAATTCAGAGTACAGCTGCAGTTTAATTATTCTCTACTGCGGACGCGGCAGGTAAACAAACCGTCCTGGCCCGCCAGGGGCTTTCCCTACACAAGCGGCATCCCAAGTTTGGGAAACACTGCTCTACTGCATGAAAATTAATTGTTCGATTCCAATTTTTAAAAAGAGAATCTAGATAACTTACCAATGCCCTAAGTGATCTTCCACATTCATATCCAATACTCTTGACTCTGCTAACTTGATTTTTAGAGGGTTGTATATTATTACAGACTCGCCAATGATCTGACCAGAAGATAATCAGGTTCTTGTCCTGAAATCAGGCACTGCACAAGACAGAAGTAAGGCTGCCTTTAAGGACCCCTTCACAAGCACTGGTGTAGGGAGTGTGCCTGGGGGTAAGAGGGAACAGCATGATATGGAGATTCTTGGTGGCTCTGAACAGGAAGGCAGCCCTAACTTAGACAGGCCCTGGGTCCAGTCTAAACTACACCAGCCCTGTGAACAGCCAAAGATTGGGAGGGCACAAAGCTGCCTTAAAGCCACCTTTCCACCTGGGCTGCGAATACTAAGAGGCACAACACAGAATCTTATCCATTGTATCATTCTCTTGTGTGTCTTTAACCAAGCCCAGTATTCAGATATTATTAGATATAAAGTGGGACAACGTGAAAAGTCCCTTCTCTTGTGAGAAAATTTAAATGACAGTAAAGCACTTAAATGCAGCTGAATCCCTAGGGGAGGATGGTTTGAGAGCTGTTAGCCTTGATAGTGAAGTTTGTTTTCTTAGAAGCTGAGAAAAGGCGGCACAGCTCATCTCAACAGAGCTGTGATTTGATTTTCTTAGTGGTCTAGGAATGTACTAGCATGTCTGAACTATCAACCATACCCTACATCACTTTTAAATGCAGAAGTAAATAGCTGTACCACGATCTTAGCGCAGAGATGACATTAGCCACTTTTATACAATCCTCCGAGGTAGGTTTGTGAAAGGAAGGAAGTCACTGGAAACATTCGGACTTTATTATATATAGCACAGAGCACTCATGACTCACACCTCCCTATTGTCACCATGGGCCAGATTCTCAATGGTGCAGGTTGTCAAGCTCCACTGAAGTCCATTTACACCAGCTGAGACTTTGCCCCTAAATCTCTGGATGCAGAGAAGACCTGTAGGAGGATGGACTGGCTATATCTATTTTATATACTAAATGGTTTAACGAAGAAGAGATATTGAGGACCAGTGTATTCGTCTTGTTTAACAAAGTAACATCTCACCTCTTTGCACATGGAAGAGGTGCCAGACAATGCTGCCCATTGTCATCTATATTGTTTATAATGGATTTGGAACCTCTTGTGGAAGCAATCACAAAATATTTGGAGTGTTCTAGCATTGTAGCAAGAGGAGTACTACAAAAGGCTGTGGGGATAATATCATTTTAATGCTAAGTAACCCAGTGGTACCCTTAGCTCACTTGATGAAAGTCATTAATGACATTTCAAAGATCCTGGGACCTATAATAAATTGGCAGAACCTGTGAAGTTCTTCCCCTTGTATGAATTCTGCCCCAATGTCCTGCTAATTCAATGGAACTTGCAGTAACTATCAAAAGTTAAGAAGTATTAATCCAGTATTCATTTGCAAGCTTATTTCATAAACTGGAGTAAAATAATGGTCTTGTTGCATGATCATTTGTCAGATGTTACTGAACTAGCATGGCACCATAAGTTACCCACTGAGTCAAAACTGTATTTGCGACATGATTTTTCTCAGTCAACAGAATCACAAAGTCTTTTCCAAAATGGAATGCAATTGCCCCAGGGTTGTGCCAAGAGATTTGTCATTAGAAGACAGAAAAGCTCCTGTGTCCCACTTTTAAACATAACATGGCAGAAATTGCTTAATGAAGACACCTAATTTATAAGATGAATGACAAAAATGAAGAATTTCAGGTGACATGGGGGAATATATACCTTATAGAAAGGCAAACAAGTGCAAGTGAGAGGAACATGAGATTGCTGATGCAATTTTGGGGGAGGAGAGGGTGTTAGCATAGAAGACCTTGGCTTTCATTGTTTTTTTCCTGTTTGCCTATGTTTGTTGGGTTTTGTTGATATTGTCATGTGT